CTAGACTGGATTTATATTATCCCTGGAAACAATTATATGAGCTTCATGTGGAATATCTTCCAAAATACGGTTGATGATTTTGTGAAATCTCATACTAAAAACAAAATAAATATAAGAACAAATCTAAAACCCTGGATAAGTAACCAACTGCTGTCTATGGCAGAACATTATAAACACATAAGGAAAAAATTTAAGAGAACCAGCAACTTGAATGATTTTTCTGCTCATTCTGCTATTCTCCCATCAATTAAAGGCCGCAATTATAGAAGTAAAGCATAACTATCAGCAGTATATCGCTAATTGCGCCTATAGCAAAAAGTTCCATAAATAGGTTAGTACAAATCTGACATCCAAAAATTACAAAAATAAGTGTGCCAACAATACTGAATCTGCTCAACTTTTGTAATGTCTTCACTAAACAGGCTACTAGCCTCTATTTCCAACGTATCGTTTGACCCGGACATAATAAAAGAAAAACTGAAAATACTTAAGTCCAACTCCTCTGTTATCATATTTCCCACATAATGACCTCCTTTAATTTTTACATGCTGCCATCTATATGAAAGACTGCGTCAATGACTGCCATATTCAAATAGGTAATAAGCTTGACCCAAATAACTATAGACTGATAAGCCTTGTACCAATAGTTTGTAAACCAATAAAATCCATAATATGTGATAAGGTAACTGATTTTCTCGGAAACGAACGTTTATTTCCCACCCAACATCAACATTAACGTCTGATGCAGTTGAAAGGATTCAATCAGAACACGACAGCAAATGTAAAGCAATTTTAACAACTGCTTAGCGTTTCAATCAACAAGAATTAAACGATTGCATAAGAGACCTAAACCTCTCGAAGGAGTCTGCTAATTTACTTGCATTCAGAATAAAGGAAAAGATCCTTCTTTATCTAGGTACTAATATTATATTTTATTGTAAAAGAGATAAGGATATGCTTCCTCTTTTCACTCGGGAATTCTGTAACGATATAAAAGTATTCATAGAAAAAAATGGGTTTGTCAGAATACCCTCCAGATGATTGGTGCTTTTTTATTGACATTTTAAAATCTTTTAAAAAAAATTAAATGCGAAAAACATCGGTTGGTAATTTGTGTTGATTTAAAAACGATTAATTTTCTCCTTGGACAGCAAAATTAATAATCAAAATACCTCTGTTTTTTATGTCTCTGAGACAGCAGAGCTAAAAGTCAACACTCACTGGGTTAACAGAAATTGGCATTTAAGTGGTATTATGGTTCAAGGAAAATAAAACGTAATTAACGAACCTTTGGTTACGAGAGAAAAATTTTACTACCACCCTTGCATATCAAGTTGGGGCTTATAAAGCAATTTGTGTATGCTTTACATCTAGATGGAAATTGTTTTGAGTTCTTATAACGTAAGTTTCCCAAGATTAGAACAGAAAAACTAAACCTGGTATATTTGATTGTCCTCAAATAAGTCAACTTAAAAATATACAATTTACCACATTAATGTATGACTGAATCTATAGCTTGGTGTTTATTTGTTCAAGTAGTGAACATTTTCTCCAATAAAACTGCCTTAGTCAATTTCATGCTAAAAAGTCATATACAATTTTTAGGTGATAAGTACAGGGACAATATTTGCTTTATTTGTACCAACATTACTTTCGTTTACAGCAAATAATAGCTAGAACCTACTGAAACGCGATAATTAACTTCCAATTACCAAATATAATGAAACACTAACAATAAAAAATGTTCAAATATCGGATTTGGCACAGGTACAAGATCACGTTGTTTCATTAATAATATTTGCGATAAAACAGGTCTATTACATTTAGCAAATAGATACATGAATGATCTCGATCACGAAACACAATGGACCAAATCGAGGCCAGGATAAATTCACTATCATCCGCCAAGTAAAAAAGAAATATAATGTAATAAGATGAAAAGTAATCGTTCATCTCAAATGAAAACGAAACAGTGGTATTCTACTTAACACGTGAGAAAATAATGAATCTTATTTGAGGCACATCAGCATACACTACTTTAAATAACAGTAGCGTAACATAGTTTTAATTACAAAAGGGGATTTAATTAGCTCCGTTTTTTGTGCTTTTGTTTACAAAAGAGTTAATTAATTTTTCTAGTTGCTATAGAATAACAATTTGAAAAAATTTTTACAAAACAGAATAATACTTAGCTAAAAATATTTCGGGAAAATTCTTTCTGCAGTAGTTAATAAGTGAAAAAATGAGAGCAGTTATTATACAGGGTAGCTGTTAAAGATGGAACCAAACCTATAGTGCTTAAACGGTTTAACTTACAAAATCCAAAATTTTAGAATTTCAACTAAATGTATTTGCGCATATTTTAGCCCAAAAATTATTTTTTTTATAATTACAAAATTTTAAGCATGGCCGTCATCTTAATTTTTTTAAATAGCAACATAGGTCATGTGATATACCATTTATAAAGGTTTAACAGCCTGATTACAAAAATGTATAACTCATGGGGTCTAAACACAACAGAAAGGATATTATTAATAGGGAGCGTAGGAGGCTGTGCATATCCTGTCTGTTGTGTTTAGATCCCATGTGTGATACATTTTTGTAATCAGGGTGTTAAACTAGTTTTTCAGAAAAAAAAAAATAGAGAAAATAAAAAAAAATACAATATGATAACTGCATTAGATAATCATTCGTTAGCCCATCTTTCATGTTTGCCCATTCTTTTGTTTCACAAATTTCCATAACGATCTTCAAAAAAAAATTTTTTTAAAAAGGGATTTGATGGCAATTCCACTATCCGAGATTTATACGAGTTTATTTGTTATAAAAAAAAATGGGCAAACATCGAAATAACACCAAAATATTTATGAGTTACTAAAAAATTTTTTCTGAGAATTACCTTTTTTTTCAAAAAAATCCTCGTCCAATAGGGGGGCTTAATCCCCGATAGTAGTGCATTTCTGTTTTTATTTGATATAAAAAAAAATGGGCAAACTTTGAAATGATTCCAAAATAAGTGTAAGTTCCTAAGAAAGGTATTCTGAGGATTTTCATTTATAAAAAGAATTCTCGTCCAATAGGGGGGCTTAATCTCCGATAATAGTGAATTTCTGTGTTTTTACTTAATATAAAAACATAATCAAACATCGAAATGAATCAAAAATAAGTGTAAGTTACTAAGAAAGGTATTCCAAGGATTGCCCATTTTTAAAGAAAATCCTCGTCCAATAGGGGGGCATAAACTCCGATAATAGTGCATTTATGTGTGTTTATCTGATATGAAAAAATGGGGCAAACATCGAAATAATTCCAAAATAATTGTAAGTTGCTAAGAAATGTATTCTGACGATTGCCTATTTAAAAAAAAATCCTTGTTGAATAGGGGGGCTTAATTTCTGATAATAGTGCATTTCTGTTTTTATTTGATATAAAAAAAGAGGCAAACATCGAAATGATTCCAAAATAAGTGTAAGTTACTAAGAAAGGTACTCTGAGGATTTTCCATTAAAAAAAAATCCTCGTCCAATAGGGGGGCATAAACTCCGATAATAGTGCATTTATGTGTGTTTATCTGATATAAAAAAATGGGCAAACATCGAAATGCTTCCAAAATAGTTTTAAGTTGCTAAGAAATGTATTTTGAGGACTGCTCATTAAAAAAAAGGCCAATAGGGGGGGCTTAAACTCCGAAAATAGTGCATTTATGTGTGTTTATTTCATATAAAAAAAATCAACAAACACCGAAATGTTTCCAAAATAAATGTAAGTTACTAAGAGATGTATTCTAAGGATTGCGCATTTTTTTTATATCAAATAAAAACACAGAAATGACGCAAATAAAGTTTCAGTATAAACTTTGAGCAAGATGGACGTGAAGAAGAAAGCTTTGGTGATGACGATGTTAGTTGAGGTACAGAACAATAAACATTCATGATAATTAGTTTTTCCATTTTTTTTATTCATTTGACTTCCACTTTACATCTTTTTTCACTGTATTTTTAAAATCCGGGTGGCTTAATTTCCGCAAAAATTTAATTTTCTTAGACATGCCCCACCAAATCATCGTCCTCTAATGACGTGAAACGGGGCTAATGGTCTCCAACAGCCTTTTTAGTAGCCGACATGCGTCACGTACACCGGGAATTAAACTTTGACAACCTACGCTCCGCTTGCGTCTGTCGCAGTGAAAATGCAGTTAATTTAATAAACTTCTCTACAAGTATGATAACCTACATTTTTAAGATAAGGCATTTCTGAAGCGCAGAGAAGGGGGAACACGCGTTACATTTTTGGGATAATGTGACTCGAGACGTTAATTTACTTTATCATGTTAGTTTCGCTATGGTATAATTATTAATCATAAAGGCACATACAAAATAATTTAGGTAATTATAATTGGAAAATATATACATAAGTATAATGTGTCAAAATATTGTTACTTTAGATAATTTTTGGTAATTTGATCCAGTATTTCTATCTATCTAAATTAGGGCGTGATTCAAAGCCCACTTGTACTTTTTGTACCCCTCACAGTTTCTATCCCATCAGATTGATTTTCTTGATGTGTGTGCATAGGAGAGAAATCGAGGATTTGATTAGGTTAGTTTTGTTTTTGGTTTTAGAAGACGAAGTTGGCAGTTTGGACGCCAAGGTGGTTGTAGGGTGTATTGGGCAAAGGTATTGGAGCCACTCAGTTCGAGAGATATACTGTTTCCTAAGTACTTAAAAACGTGCTGAGATGGGGATATTATTGATTTCATCGAAGGCTTTGTCTACAAGAAAAACGAAAAGTTAGATATTGGCATCGCCATCTCTCTAGTGTGGTGAGTTTGTAGATAGATAAGGAAAAGTGTGCGGTATATTGTTCTGTATTCAGCAACGGGACGAATTTATGCATTATAGGTGTGAATAATCGTTTGTGGATTGAAACGACCAAAACAACCACACAGAGCTCTGAGGATCTAACTCTTCTCCGTATCCTATTGTGGATGCGTTGGACATCAGAGGACCAATCGAGGATGTAAGTGAATCTTATCTTCAAGGTAAGTCAATTTCAGTCTTTTATACGAGACTGAGAGCAGAACAGTATCATCGGCGTATAAAAGGAAGTCAACCAAGCCTTGTGGTACCCCTGCTTGAGGGGTGAAAGAATCGGACAATGCTTTACCTGTTTTAACCGTGATGGTTCTATCTGTGAGATAGGAGTAAACGAGTTTGGTGATATTGATGGGGAGACTTATGTGCATACGTTTCTTAATTGGTCCGACATACCAGATGTTATCAATGCCCTTTTGAACATCGAGAATTCATTGCTGTAACAGCAGTGGTGTGGAGCAAACTGAAGGTGTCCTGAGTGTTACATTCTTCACAAAATTCACAGATTTTTTCTTGAACAAGAAGTTAGTGATGGATTGGAAGCATTTGAGGTAGAAAGGACTGGAGAGGAGATATTTGAAGTGGTCTGTGGACCATGGTCGAACTGTTTCGAATCTGAAGCAGTAGAATCGACGTAATAAAATTTGCAAGTGATTACCACCAAAGTTTTTCGGGTTGGAGTTTGTTATTTTTGGTAAGTAATTTTAAAGATCCTAATCCTAATAGTAAGTGAAGGCCTTATCACCCAAGGGCTACTAAATCCTGCAATATGTCGGCTTGACACTAGGAGGATGACGTTTTTTGGTTTGTTAGTTTAATAAAGGATTGTCTTACTCATACTATCTTCTTCTTAATGGCACTTATCTAAAGAAATGGATCAAATATGATATTCAATCCAAATTTGTATCAAATGAAGCCAGAATTGGCCATTATCTAAAAGAAAAGTGACAAATGTATTAAAATCAATCTCATTCGTAAAATTTTGCTATGCAAATATTTACCTTTATTTAAGGGAATCTCTGAAATAAAAAAATCTCAAAAATAGGAATATTTTCATTCGTTCTTCTTCTTCAGTTAGATTATATTTTGATAATTAGAAATGTATAAAAAGAAATATTCTAGAAATATTTAATATTGTCACTGTTATTACCAAAGGTCGCTAGAGCTTGGTAGCTTTTGTGTTAGTCTGCATAAGTAGTGGCTAATACTAAGCTACTATTTTGCTTTTGATTATTCTTGTTCATCTCGTAACGTCAATATCTTCTTGTAATCCTGCCTGAACTCGAATGCGAGACTAACTTCAGTGCATGCTTATATTATGCAACATTATGCTGTTTGGTACTAACGGAATAGTGAATCGACCTGACTTGAAGAATTCGGCTATAATTTAATTAGTAAATTACCAATAATTGCCATCCCCTAACTAAAACAATTTAAAGTTTTAACTTAAGATTGGTTTTACTTTAGTTACCAGAGGGTTACCTTTGGTAGTTTTTGTGGATATTCTTACTTGCTTATCTGCAGTGTTAGTTATCGATTTTTTTCCGTTTCTGGTCGTAATTCTTCATCGGATTCATGGATATGATTTTCTACTGGAAAGTTTGTGGTTTAAGTGTTATTTAGTTTTATAATAATTTCATTTTCAGATTGCTTTTTCTTGCCTTCTTTTTCGTTGTGATTTTATTCGATTATAATATGCAGTACTCTATAGCCATTTGAATGTTCATAATATCCTACCAATAATCCCTCTTCTACCCTAGGTTTCCATTTAGTTCTTTTGTCCTTGAGTACATAAGGGTATGCTTTACTACCGTAGGCTCTTAGATGATCTGTACTGGGTTTGTAACTATTCCAGAGTTAAAAAGGGGTATTTGGATTGATTTAGTTGGTGGATGATTTTGAATGTAATTGAAAACAAAACTGACTCTCTCCAATATTTGTTTGGTAGGTCGGCGTCATAGAGTATACACCTTGCAGAGTCACAGAGTATTTTATTTTTACGTTCCGCTACTCCATATTGTTTAGAAGAATAGGGAACTGTAACTTTGTAACCTATATCATATTTTCTTTAAATTTCTTTAGCTGACCTATTGCAATATTCACCACCGTTATCAAATTTAAGTATTTTTGGGGCTTTTTAAAATTTATTTTACTCTAATATGTAATCTTCTAGTTTTATGGCAACTTCATCTTTAGAATGTAGTAAATAAAATATTGTGTATTTAGAAAAATCAACTATAAATGTTACAAAGGAGTTTCAGTCTTGGCCACATATGTCATCTAAACATTTTTGTTATTTTCTTTTACAAATGGTCTGTTTGTTAATTTTCCTTTGATACAGCTTTTATACACTGCATAGATTTATGGATTAATAGATTTTTAATTTTAAGTTTCTTTATATCATCGATATTTCTGTGACCTAAACATCAATGCCATATATGAATACATTCTGTCTCTTCATTACAAAAATTAACTAACTTTTAAAGACCTTTTTTAATTTTTCCTTCTGCAATAACTGTACCAGCTGATTTTATAAAACATTTTTCACTTTCAAAAATTCAATTAAAAGGAGATAAAAGGCTTGTTTTTATCTCAGGTACGTAAAGAATAGTTTGTACTCTCACCATATTACCGTTACCGCTAACTATACATGGTAATTTTTCTTCTTCTATGCCGGAACAGTTTATTTTATATCCACTGGCAATAGTTACATAGTTTCCATAATTGTCTAATATAGAAAAGAAGTTTTTATTAGAAGTCATATGGCTAGACGCTCCTGAGTCGATGTACCAAGCAAAGTTATCAGCATCTTCAGTTACTACATAAAAACAGAAGTTTTGAGTTTCTTCAGTCTCTTCTATAACGCTGTTGGTATTATGATTATTTCGTTTTATTCTCGGGTTCAACTAATTCTAGGACATTTCTGATGTATTCTGACTTCGAAATAAATTCTTCTGTAATACATTCCACATATCTTTAGTGGACACACATTTGCAAATGTGGACTAAGTGATTATTTTCTACACATTCGGATATTGTACTTTGTGCCTTTTCATCAAACTGCTTACATTCGTATGTTGAAGTTTTAGGTTTTTTTTTTCTTGATTACTTTCCAGCTTCTTTCTCTAATTAGCAGCATTCGCATTTTAAATTTCCAAGATTGGTAATTTGTGTTACTTAATTCTCCGAACCCAACCTTTGTATTTTCTGATCTTTCTTCCATAAGTTTAAAAAATTAAATTATTATTATCCATTAACCCAATCTTTTTAGTGATCAGGCAGTGCCTGGGCCCATAACCTGTTAGAAGTTTGGAAGTTAAGATTAAGATTAAAATTACTTTTGTATGACAATATTTATTTTTTGTCAAAAAACAAAATTCAAACTAACAAGAGTTAATCAAATTCCTGTTATTACAGAAATAGATGAGTTTAAAAATTTTCAATCTGCTAGACATTTAGGCAGGCCAGGAAATATTTGAGCTTTCGCATTTTTATCATACATATTGTGAATAGTAATATGAAGACTATTATAATAATAATAATAATACTCTCCCTAATTCACCCCCTTACGAGTGAATTTTAACCCCAAAAGCTAAGCTTGTGCGGGGAAAGGGACGCCTATTATTATTATTTGCCGTGGCGCTCCGGGGCTACTTAAAGATGATTGATGGTGCCATTTGACTTACAGGTGAGGAAAACCCGGAAAACCTCACCCACCATCATGTGAACTAACACTAGCGATCTGCTCAGTCTACCAAAAAATAAAATTGGAATAACATTATTTTACAAGGAACAAAAATTTGTGTAAGTTTATCAAAGATTGTTATGCATCACCTTGAACCTTTTAAGTAGCACCTTATAAATATAGCTAAATATTTATTTAATCATAAAAATAAAAACAAGTTTCAAGGCATAATACGAAAAATCTATTATTTGTGATTAATTTTTCTACCGACACTTTATTTTCACCTCATTTTTATTTTTCTAAAGGAATATAAATGTATATTCTCAATTACATGGAGTTATCTAAATATTAAAGTCCAAAAATATCTACACCACTGTTCAATATGCTTACTGTTATTCCATCATTGAATGGATAGGAAGTGGCACACATTTATTGATCGCTTGGCTTATTACTTAAACAAATTAAGTGAATTAATTATTCCAACCAAATAAATAAATGTGTTTGAAAAGTAGAAAAGATCGAGTTTTGAATAACCAGGTCATGGCAACGAATCTATCGATAACTCGTTCCATTTTTTTTGTAAGGTGTTATCTTAGATTAAGGATACCAGAGATATAACATGCATTGGTGTATTCGCTCCTTACGTGACAGCAGCGCCAATTAATTTATGTATTAATGGACTATTTTTGGGTATACTGACAATACAATTTTTAATAGAATTCGTAATTAAAAAGTATATATGTTAGTTTTAACAAAAATATATGGATTTGTAAAAAGAGTAACGCAATAATTTATTATGTATTTTTATCGCTTAAACTAAAAAAAGTAAGTAAAATTAATAAAAATCAATAATATATAATATAAAAATATAGGCAGGCAGCAGTATTTACGGGGAAAATGTATGAGAAGTTGCCTAAGTCTAAAAAGATATCTTTGAAGAATTAACCTATTCTGTGAAAATAAAAAAATACCAATAAATAATAGCGTGAAGTTAAAATGTATAAACAGAAGAATTATTATTTATATCTTCATTTTTGTTCGAAAGAAAACAGAATGAATAAATAAAACTGGTTTTCTATCAGTAAGTCACAAAACTGCATTTCAGAGCCACATACAATAACCAAAGGCAGAAATCTAGTTCTTGCTGAACATTTAAGATTTCTAAAATATGGGTTAGCTGAGTGGAGTAACTAGGAGGGAAGCATAACTTTGTATTAAGAACGAACTTTTTGGGTTATTAGCATTATAATTATTATATTTAATTACAAAATGTTTATTGTAATGTTTAATTATAAAATAAAATAGATATAATCCAATAGAAGCAACGGTTTTGTCTTTGTCTATATAATATTTCATTAGATTTTATTTTCTTCTAACTTTTCCATAAAGTCTGGTTTAGAGTAGAAGCGGCGACCGTGACGATGCGATAGCTTTGCGTCGAGCGAGCGTCGTAAGTAAAATAACCTATTCAGTCTTTTTCAGAGTAAAAACGGCAAGAGTGGCGATGCGATACCATTACATCAAGCAAGGTGATTGCTATTTTAGATAATCGCATCGGTGGTCGCTCGTACTCTCAACGTTTACGTTTATTAACCCTAGGTTGTTTTACTTACGATGTGTCACTCGACGCAACGCTATAGCATCGCTACTCTTGCCGCTTCTACTCTGAACAAGGCTTTAAACGCAAACGTTCAGAGTGAGAGCGACCAGCGATGCGATGTTTTGAAATATTAATGACTCGACGCAACGCTATCGTATCGCCACGCTCGCCGCTCCTATTTTGAACAAGGCTTAAAAAACTACAATAAAATGCCGAAATAATGGCCGCATTCAGCAGAAGCAATCGATTTATGATTTTCTGCAGAATGATATATAAAAGAGCGATTAGTAATCAAATGATGAGTTATCGGCCGCCATTTAAAACATCGAATTTGAAATATGATTAGTTATCACATCGTGATTAGATTTAGAACTCATACCAACTGAAGTGAATGTTTTGTGGTGGTGCTCATAACTCATAACCTTATTTTATGTTTATTTTGAATTTATTTTTACACTGGATGTGTCATTTTTCACTGAAATGGAGGAATTTGAAGTGATATATGTTTATAATAATATGAAATATATTGTACCTCGTAGTTGGTAATGAAGTGTTGCACAATGCATTAAAATCAGGCAAATCTATTAATTTATAATAATGTAGTTGAGTAATTTATTTGGTGTTTTATTCTAAATTTTGTACATATGTTTTAGATGAAGTACATGTCACTTTTATGTCGCCTGTCGAAGTGCCTAAAAAGTCACATGCTTTGATTTTCTTTTACTATACGGAGAATGGCCACACTGCGCAGCTTTCTGAGTGCCTTTTAAAAGGAGATAGAAAACTCCGCCATTTTGAACCCTTATTACGTGTTGCCTACATCTTGGCGCAATATTTTTAATAGGTGCGTTTTAATCATCCGCTTCTGCTTCGGAATTGTCGGTTTTCTTGTTTTAATCTGACAGGTTTTGTTGAATGGTCAATTGGAATTGATGCAAATTCATTTCCATTATGCAGTAAAACGCATTTTAACATTCTTTTACAACTGTCAATAAAAAAGCGCCACTCAGTAGGTTTGTATTCTTTTAAACCCATGTCTAAAAGTAGCTTTGCAATATTATTATAGTACACCAGTCCTTCATTTTCACTAAAAAATTGTAATAACTTACTTTCTCGCGTTCTGTATATTATAATTGTTACTGTTGGTGCCACTAAATTTTTTTTTTTCAATCTTGAGGCTAACAGTTCTGATCCTTGTTTTGATAAATTGAGATCACGCATAAAATCACGGAGTTCATTTAAAAAAAAAAAAAAACTTTGGCGTAGATGTTTCACCTTCCCATTCACTTCCACTGGTAGACTGTCCCATTTTCTGTGAATTTGGCAACATCATTGGTGCTGAGGGCATGCGAACTACTTTTGAAATGTAAATAGGCCGAGGGCGATTTTCACTGTGTATAACAGGACATTTTGTAGACTGTAATTCTGGATATCTCCACGTTTGATTTTGATTAAAACCTTTAGCATCTACTACGCAAAAGTAAAAATCATCGAAATGGTTCTTAGGCTCCATCCAGATCATAAGAATACCAAAGTTTAATTCAGAATGTTCTCCTTTTTTCCATAACCGTAAAGACTCAACACAGGACTTACCAACTTTATGAGGAACCCATAATTTATCTAGTTTGTCCATTTTAAAACCGAAATATTCAGCATAAGTATACTTAACAAAGTCTGTGATATTTCTTTTTTGTTTTTTATTATGTTAACACCGCAAATACTCGTATAACAAAATGAATCACTACTATATTTACACTTTTTTCGTGACGAACTCACGTTTTAAAAGGCAAGACCAATATATTAGAGTGGACATTCAGTAACTGAAACAAAATATTAACACATGACAACTTATCCAGATTCACGTGTAAGTACTTCAACATTATCAAATAACTGAGATCTTAGCTGTTCTGCGGAGCAAGGGGTCTGAGAGTGGGGATCAGGTGATGTTTGTATGCGCAAAATAGTTGCGCAGAAGCCTAATCATGACTGGGAAAATAAATTTTATTACTATTATATTTGCAGCATTTTCTGCAAGCAAATATTGTAAATCATACGAGCATTCCTTGATAGTTGAGCAATATGTTTTTCTACGGTTATTACACAATTTTTTAAATTGAGTTGAGAAAGTACAGTTTTGTATTGTAGCCGTAGAGGAAGGTTTGTTTTATACTTGTTGGGTATATTTTTTCTACACACTTCTTGTAAGTATATATTTTTGGGTGCCCTAATAAGAGAGGAAAGGGTCCAGAAGTCGGCATGTATGTCCAAAATTGAGCAATTCAGATTTTTTGATCTCAATAACTTTAAAACATACCGCGATATATAATAATTATAAATATTAGTGTAAGAATATTTTTTAGGTTTTATTTTTTATTAACAATGGTTTTTGACCAACCTCCGTGATTTTATTGCTATTATTTTTTGCATATAGCATAATGATCTAATTCTTTAGTTTGAAGACTAACAGGTATAAAATAAAAATATAAATTTGATAATTTACTTCGAATTTAACCGTAAATAACATGAATGTTTAAATTTTGAGTAGGTTATCCTTTATTTTATCTAATCTTGCTAATTTAAACATTCGATATTTCATTACATACACCTTCTAAATGTTTAATTAGTTATAAACAGTATGTGGCTGGAAAATTACTTTTCAAGTAGTTTTCCTCGATTAACCTCGTTAATTGCCACAAGTATGTTATGTTCGTTAATTTCCACGTGTATGTTAAATATGATAATTAAATCATAATACTGTATAAATGCGAAAGTTTGGATGGATGGATGGATGGATGGATGGATGGATGGATGGATGGATGGATGGATGGATGGATGGATGGATGGATGGATGGATCACCCCAGAACGAATTTGAATGAAATTTAGTCTAGAATAGCAAAAAGGCACAGGAACAATGTACGGTTTCTGTGAAATAGATTTGTCTTTGTTTTTCATAGAGCAAGGGATCAGACATGATCTTTCGCATAGTGAAACATGAAAATTTCAAATACAGCTACTGAGCATAAATAAATAACGTGTTTCAGGGTTTTTAGATTTTCACAATTTAAAGGGGGGAACGGATGGTGAAAGTTTGTTTGGAGTATCGATTTTTTAAAGGAACTAAAATGAAAATTGGAATTATAGCTACTCATCACAAATAATTTTGTTATGATGTGTTTTTCTAAAACTGGGTATCTTAATTTAATATTCCAATTACAAATCATTTATAATTAATAAAAATACAACTAACTCCACCTATAACGTCTGAATCCTACCGTGAAATGAAAGTGGCTTATACTCTTAAAACAAAGTAGGTTCTGTCTAAAGTTACAATAACTGGGCAGGCAAAGCAATCAATACTCACATGTAACTTGTCAATTTATTTTTCTTTTTTTTTAAATACCAATGTGTGGGGCTTCCTAAAATTACCATATTATATATTAATAACCGTTGACAGCAATATCTACACGCGTCTAACAGAACTATGACAAAAACTATTTTCTACACTCACATGGATATTAGCTTATCTACGCAGAGACTACAAAATTAAAAAGTAAACTATTGCGTTTAGCTAACTGAATATATTTCATATCCATTCTAGGTAGTGAGATCACTGCAAAAAATTAAATCCACCAATCACAGTTCATATTTTGGTCACTCAACTACTATTATTTTAAAAATTGTAAAGAAGTGACAATTCTGTTAAACAAATTGTTAGTATATTTTTTAGTTATTCAGATTAAATATAAGTCGTAGGCGAATTGTAACACTAGACGTTTTTTGGAACGCCTGGCATTTTCTTAATTAATAACTGGGAAAATTGAATATAATAATTTATTTTAGATTATGAATGACATAATCAGGCAGTTTATAAAACAAATATAAAACAAAATGCCTGAATTATGTTTAGTCATTTTTTGAGAGACTACAAATTAAGTAGGCATTTTAAAATCATTCCCTTAATGAAAGGTTTTTTTTGAAAATAAAGGTTACAGGTAATTTATTATAAAACAAATTATTTTATTCTTTTATAATAATTGTTAAATAAAAAACAGAAACATTAAAAAAAATGTTGAACAAAAATAAAATTAACTCTAAATATTGCACAAATTTATTTTTTTTTTATTTGTTCAAGCAAGATCCGGCATTGTGACACCCTTGTTAGTGCAACACTGCATTTTGCTCGGTTTACAGGCACACTTTTTTAAGCCTTGCCCCCCCCCCCCCCCCCCCCCCTTAATTTTGAATACACTGCTATTGCTTCTCTTAAAGAAAGGATTTTATCTTCGAAAACTTGAATTTGTTTCAAGCTGTCATTGCAATGATTTCGTCTGTTGAAAACCGTCTATTTATAATTTCATAATTAGATCAAATTCTGTATACCCCATTTTTGATGTCTAGAATTCTTCCCAAAATATTTTTATGAACTAAAGGACCTTTGTCTACTTTAGGCATTTTAATTCTTACTGTTTAACTCACACATACAGGTTTTAATTTTTGTTGAGAAGTTACAAGATTTTATCGGCTGTACGTTTTTGTCCAATAATACATCCCATTCTTTCTTTATTATCTCTTCTTTATGACACAAATCACCTGCAAAATTAGAAGAATTTGGTTTTTGACATTTTACACAATGTATAGAACTAGGTTCATTTAAATTATTTATAGTTATTTCAATTATTACTGTGTTGTTTACTTCAGGTGGTTGAAGAATTTCATAGTCTTTAAGTACCTACGATTGAAATGTCTTGAATGTTAAATATTTCTACTGCTTCTGAATCTTGTGAAGTACCTTAATTGTTAATCAATTTCGAGACATCATTTAAATTTTGATAAAGGCTATCAAAGTAAATAATCAATATATATTCTAGATCCTCTTCAGGTCTTATATTTTCAACAGTCTCCGTAGATAACTCAGAACAGTTAAGCCCAACTGGAAAGTCGACACCAATTAATGCTTTGTAGGGTAAACGTTTATTAATTCTATGATAAGAATAATTTTTTGCCATTGCACGTAATCGCAATTGATGGACCAATATGTTGAACTGTTGTCCTAAAATCACGCTTTTGACATGTTTTTCTCATCTTGATTCGATTACTTGACGCAAACTCGCGGCCATTATCGCTTTGCAAAATTTTGGGAGATCCAAACTCCAAAAATATTTTTAAAAGTTCTTACGATACTTCCTGTGCGCATTTGGACTTCAATGGATCCAGAAGTATAAACTCGCTTAAGTAGTCTTGGTAATTTAATAACTACCATAAAGAATCGGTTTTACTTCCATTCCCAATGTTATGCCATTTGAAAGACTTATGGAAAATGTATTAAGAAGGTTATCTTGGGAAACATGCCTGGTCTATCTAGACGACATCATAGTCATGTATAAGACTTCATGAACATCTAACAAAATTAGAGGATGTTTTTAAAAGACTTCAAGCTGCTAAATCCCAAAAGTGCCAATTATTTCAAAATAAAGTTAATTACCTGGGTCATATAGTCGGCAAGGATGACATGGGTCTAGATAAGGAAAAAGTCGCTTCTATCAAAGAGTGGCCACAACCAACTGTTTTTGGCCCATGTACGTACTATCGAAGATTTATCCGAAAGTTTGCAGATCTTGCTAAGCTAATAACACGACTCTCAGAAGAATTAAGAGAATTCTGCTGGGATGAAGACTGTCAAACTGCCACTGAAACAATAAAGAAGCATTTAACAACAGCGCCAATACTAGGCTACCCACTACCAGGTGGAGAATTTATTTTGGATACTGATGCCAGTAATGTGTAAAGAGTTCTGGGTTATTTTAGTGAAGTGCTTTTGAAACCTGAGTAAAATTACTGGGTCACGAGAAGAGAACTCCTGGCAGTTGTGAAATGCATGGAACACTTCTTCCAATACCTATATGGAAGAAAATTCTTAATTTGTAACGATCATTAAATGGTTGATGCAGTTCAAAAATCCTAAGGGACAAATCGCCAGATGGATTGAACGACTTCGAACATAGAGCCGGAATAAACCACAGAAATTCTGATTCTATATCTAGAAGACTGTGCCCAGTAGAGTGCTCTCACTGCAATAGAGCAGAATCCAAAGAGACTGGACTACTAAGAACAACTGTAGTCAACGACAAGTGGGATTCTGCCGAACTTAGGGAAGTACAAGAGAACGATTCCGGTTTTAAAAAGATGCGACAATGGAAAGAGGAAAATCGTAGACCTACCGGGAAGGAGCAAACAAAGCACATGGTTGGCTTTGCGCGACATAGTCTAGCACTAACCATATAGAGACAAACGCACCGCTTCTCGAAACTACCAGATTGATACCTTCGCGGCGTATGAGTCATAGAAAGGTAGTTTTCGATCGTTCTGGAAAGGGTAGAGAATTCTATTACAGAGTTGGCTTTATATAAATAACGCGAGTTCATCGACGGACAAGGAGATTCATATGAAATGTTGGAAAGTAAAGACAAATTGTAATAAATAAATTGTTAGTTATAATAGTATCTAAAAATTATATAAATTAATTAGTACATTATAAATAAATTGTAAATAAATCGAGAGAGTATTTAAAGTGTGTAAAATTATGTTTTATTCAATAAAACTCTATAAAAAATTCGTCTGAGCGCTTTCGGCCT